CTGATGCAGTGAAATTAAGAGGGTATTTGGTTTATATATTTTATATCAATTTCATTTCTCAGTGGTTGCTTGGGAGGGTTACTTTAAATGTCAACGTTTTGTTGATCAATAACATGATCTTGGAGAATGAATGTTCATTTTGAAATCTCAGGCTTTTGATTGCAGACATTGATATATTCGCAAATCTCAACTCAGTTTGTGATTGAAAATTATACATATGAGATTCTAAGAAATCAAATTTTATATCGTAGAGAAATCATGAGATTTATGCAAAGGTTTAAAGTTGATCTCCATGTAATCTCAGTGGTGTCTAGAAGAAATAAGTGAACACATCTGCTCAATGGGTCAATGCATGTCTCCAAACCACTAAGCAATGTCTCCACAAGCTATCTTTTGTCTTAATATTTACATTTTGTCTTGATATTTATCACCTGTGTTTGTGAATGAGAGCATTGAAAGCCATGCCATCTTTCCAGCTTGTGGTGAAATTGGTGATGTTTACACTGGGATACCTGCAGATACAAAACAACATGAGACAAATCCATCTGCAACCACAAATTTCTCATAAAAAAATTGAGGATTTGCTATAGCTTCATTACTACTAAAGTATGACAACTGTTGTCCTACCCTGCAGTCTTCATCTGACACCAGAGGAGTAGTGCATCTTTGGCCGAGCGGGTCTCTTGCCGGCCTGTCTTATCAGCTTGTCCTGTTTCTACAATAATGTCTTGAATCTGTATCCACATGAGGAAAGAAAGAACAAAAGCTGAAATTAATCCCACATGTGCATTTAAACTATATTCATACCTCTTTCTGTCACTCTTTCTGTCAACTAGACCTTCCTTTTGTTAAATGCAATAATAAAAGCAGGAAATTCTCATATCAGTTGACATTTCATGTACTCTAAATCTCACATTAATTAGAAGAGCTACTGTAAATCGCCCTTGGGCATCCAATCTTGGATATGCAGAGGCATTGTTACTTTATTTAGATCCTGACTTTTTATATCTCAATAGTTTGTACATTGCTGTGGGAGCCAGGCAGAATAAAGAGCAGTCAACAATTCCCATTCCGGTCTATTTCCTTTCATTTTTAAAGGTCTGAATTATGTAGCAGAGTATATTGTTTGAAGTAGCTGGGCTAAAAATATCCTGCTATTAAAATGAGAGATTTAAAAATAAATATAAGCTTTTCGAATCAACCAACGAAATGTAAGCTTTTCCAATCAGCCAAAGACACAATACAAAAACTCTGCTGTAGGTCTACTGTAATATCAGAAAGTCTGGATTGTTTTGTACTGTATGTTTTATAGCCTGAGAAATGTTTTAATTTAGTTTTTTATTTCTAAACTTTCCTTATTTTTTGGCTTAAATTATATTTAGAGGCACAGAATGAATAGAGTGGTCAAAAAAGTTGTTTCATCAGAATAACGGGCTGACCTGGAAGCGAAGAATGATGGTCCAGATAAGGCCTAGGATGAGCCGGTGGTTCCCATCTACAATATCATGTGATCCCATGTTCTCTAAGTGCACCTTCTGTTCCTTTAGAAACTGTAGAGCTTTGTCCACATTCTCCAGACAGTGGATGCGCATTCGCCCCTTGGTCGGCTTGGGCTGAATGGTGGAAAGATGGAGAATCAGAGATATTACTGCAATGACTTCAGTAAATGGCAATTAATTATTGTTCTGTGGTGTGGACAGATCAAGGTTTGACATGGTTACACATTAAACACACGTTATACACACCAGTCTCTCCCCTGACAGAACCTCCAGTAGTTTGATGAGCATTCTCCCATCCCGAAGGTCTAGATAGAGATCTGAGATTCGGCAGCTGACTCTGGCTAATATTGAATTCACCCATTTTGTGAAGGTCTTCTTCTGGACAGCCTCTCGCTCGTCTAGTTTTGACAGAAAGGGAAAAACATTCAGCTACTCTTATGTGGCCTTGTAGTTTCACATCTGATGTTTTATTTACATGAAAAATAAAGTGAAATTAAAAATACTTAAATGAATCATAGAAATATGTCAGATTCAAAATAATAAAATAAGAAATAATATTTTGCATAAATAAAAAGCCCTATTTGTAGGACCAATTTTGTTTTCTTTTTTTGCACTGTGACAATTTAGTGGCAGTTAAGCATTTCCATTTTCATATCAGCTTAAATTAAATTCAGTACAATAAATACTGCCATGATGTATACTCAAAATTGTGCAATACATTTAATTAAAAATCCCATTACTGCAGATTTTCAATGTGCTCAACTGTACTGAAAATAATGTCACAATGCATAATATCTTAATGGCCATAAAAATACTGTAGGCTTAATTTTTATGATTTCTTGACAGTTTTCATGAGATTCACCCATTTTGATGGAGAACAGACATATATGGAATGCATTATGTAATAAAAACAAAACTGTGGACTGTAGAAATGCCCTAAAGCCGTATTTTTAACATCTCGCACTCAAACCTTCAAAAAGCCCTTTTTAAAAATCCAAAAAGTTTTGTCATAATCAGACAGTGATTATAGTATATAATCTATGTATGTGTATTCTAACAATGTTGGGCCAAAAGCTAATTTTTTGGCAGTACATCTGTAGAGAGACAAAATAGCTTTCATTTTGCCCTAAATATTTAAATTTGAAATGTCATAAAAAATGTTTTATATCATTAATCACACCTGTATCCCCAAGCCATTAGCCTTTCCCATTAATTTAGGTAATTAATTTAAAGAGTTGTAGTAATTGTTTCTTAATGTTGGCACACTGTGGGAAAAAAAACTTTTTTTTCTTGATTTTCTAGTAACCTCAAACATGTATTTTATGTGATAACATCTAAATAAAGTGATTTTATTCAAGTAAAAATTTAAATTTTAAATTGCAAATGCTTTTCAGGCAATCTCCTGAGCTGTAAATGTCATGGCTAATACATGGCTAATTCCCCTGGAGCCAAAGGAAAATGATGTCACATCAACAGTGATTGCCTATCCTGAGTTTTCATGAAAGGTAAAACTACATGTTGCTTGCAAATAAATTATTTGAACAACTGTCAACAGAGATTTTTTATTTTTTATTTTTTTGGTCCAGATGGTATAAGTATAGCATCTACCAGCCATGGCTAGGAGGCCATGCTAACCTGGCAAACCTTTACTTATTGGGTTACACCAAAAAAAATAAAATATGGTAGCTTTGAAGCATGTGGGGACAACAGTCTGACTTAGCGAGATGTTGAAAATGTCTGTGAAGACATCGGTAAGTTCCACTGCACAGTCTCTCAGTACACGCCCAGGAATGTTGTCAGGACCCGGAGCTTTACGTGCATTGATCCTATTGAGGGATCTCCTCACATGATGCAGCAGTGGGGGTCGGTGATGGAGTGGGCCTCCGGAGCAGACCGAGATCCCGCAGCTCTTCGGCATGTGCAGAGTTTAACTCTAAAAATGTGGTTCTGCCGACATCGAGCAGAAACTCACGACAATATGCGCGCTTGGAAACAAATAGACGTGACGAATGCGTACAAAAACACTGCGACTCACAAGACAAAAAACACGAAAACACCTTTCTGTCGGGAGAGAGAGAAGCCGCAGCATGTGAACGCGCCGCCATCTTGGATCACTAAGATCTAAGGGTCAGGTCAGGTAGGTGAAGCTCTATAAAGTAAATACTGCACCGTTTCACTTTTTAAAATTCAATTTACCATGTTCCTTCCAGATTTAGGAAAGCTCCAGATGTGCTAAAGCATAATAAGAGATCTAAGCTTGGCAACACTTCATATTTCATGATCAAACTACTGCCAAATGATTCCTCTTCCTGTCCACACTTTGTACAGCCGGACTGTAGTCTAGCCTCTACTAAATGCTTCTCTCTCTCTCCATTAGAACAGCAGTGAGTCTAAATAGAGTTTGTTTCACTAGGGGTCCTGCTGATCTGTGATATTCTCTCCAACTCACATGAAAGGTCTGTGAAATATTCATATTGATGGATTTTCCCTGTACACCACAAGCCAATGTTTTTTCCACAGTCAGCCTTCACAGGATGTGACATGCAGTCTCACTAAATTCTCATACCTTAGTCATTGTTTGGAGGGCTCTGGATCTACAAGGTTAGGTCCTTACCAACACAAAATCACAAGTAACGGAGAACTTTGTGATGGGAGGACACATAGAAGCAATAGATTTAGATGCAATGTAAGTGGTTCTTTCCCATGTAACACCTGTAGCCATGATGGAGGCGGTTTGGGTAATCTTTATGGTGTTCTTGTCCTTGTTGAGTCCCTCCTTCAATGTAGATCTGTAAGATTTTTCACCCATTTTACCATCCATCAGACAAAAAGCTGCTCAGTTTTAGGTAGGACTCATGTCTTAGGTACTTGCAACTATATTTCTCATAATTGCAACTTTATAGTAACCAACTGTTTATAGTCACCAACTATATTTCACAATTGCATCTTTAGATCTTATAGTGTGACTTCATATCTCACAGTTACTATATTTCTTATTTTAAACTTTATCTCACAATTACTTTTATTATTATTTACTCTAAAACGGGTTTCCATAAAACCCATAACCCTAAGTATGAGCATTAGTATTAGTGATGCATGCCTTAGAAAACACCTCTAACTTGAGCAGTAGAAAAGTAGAATGCAAAACTAGTCCATGTCTATTTGTCTTTATGCTAACCAAGTTGAATCCCTTCCTATGTATTCATACTATACATGTAAACATTAGTGATAGTAATAGAAAAAAACAGTCTCTCTGAGCTATGCTCTTTGTGTTCCACAGCATTAAAAGAATGCTCTCATCGGAGAGAAAGAGGAAGCTCAGTTTTACACAAATTAACAGTGACAGTCAGCTTATCTCTAAAAAATAAAAAAGCTGCCAGGAGAGAATAAGCGAGGTAGGAGACCTCAATGCTGAATACCCCAAATCAGAGAAAAAGACAGAGACAACATTTTCCTGTAAGAGGTAAGAATAGCAGAAGACAAGAAGTAGATGGGGGGGTAGTCCGCCAGTGTACCAGTCAATTTGTACTTCAGCAAGAAAAAGACAGATGTGGTGGGGCACAAGAAGAATTTTTTTCCACTGAATGGCCTTTTTATGAGGTTGCCATTCAATATTTAGAGGTAACACAGTGAGCAGTTGGGGCGTATATACAGCATAAATAATGAAATTAATAAATACTGCACATAAAAAGACAAACCAGTTCCCATAGCACCCCATAGAGAACAATCTAGCATACCACCTTAATGTCCTTCCCATTCTGGATCTCTGCCTATTCCTGTAAGTCCCCTGTGGTGGGGTATGCCGGGAAAGACTGCCCCCTCCTCCAGGATGGGAGGGAAAAACTCTAGCAGGACACTACCTTGTAGTTGTTTGAATCGCCCATCCAGGATGGAGTTGTTGAAGCAGATGTTGGAAGCACTGTAGCTCAGCCAGCGTGCTCGTCTCATACTCCGGGATGGGGACAGGGGGCAAGATGGTGAGGATCGTGGAGGTGAGGGCCGATGGCCCCTCGGGGTGCAGGAGGAAGAGGATGATGAGGTTGAGGAGACTGAAGTGAGAGTCATGGGCGCTACTTTAGGTGTGATGCCCAGTAAAGTTCCGTTCCTCTCCGGCAGGTGCTCAGGTTCACGAATGTGGGGACTGTTAGTTTTGCCCCCTCTCCTGCTTTGGGCCCTGTAAACTGGTGGGGTGCTTCTGCTCCGACTGCCTGGTGCATTGGTCCGGGTCGAGACTTCTTTTATCGTGGTATATTGCCGGCTGCTGACCTCTCGGACGACAGGGGTAGGGCGGATCGCAATGGTCTCTCTGCTGGTCTTCAAGCTGAGTTTGACCTCCCTCAGCCGGGTCTGGCTCACAGGCACCGTGCGACACAAACAGGGGCTGCTCATCCTCACCACGCTAAATCAACACGCAATGCTGGGAAAGAGCGAGACAAACAGGACACTCTTCTTCCCTCCTTCTGTCTCGAGTCCTGTTTTCTTCCTCTTGCCCGCCCTCCCTCCCTCCCTTTCTCCTTCCCGCCCTCCCTCACTCTTCACTCAGCAGTGATGCTGTTGTGCCTCTCCCCAGTAGCACATGGAGTGGTTCTCCAGCACCCCAGCCATGCATATAATATGCCCCCATTCCTGTTCACCCCACAACACGCACACACTCATCTAAAATTTCATCAAATAGCTGTACACGTGTTTGTGTGTGTGTATTGATTTGTTACAAATACAATGTGATGTCAGACTGTAAGTGCGTGCATAAGCGGTTTGGGCCCTGATGTACTGTAAATATAAACTACAACTGTATTAATGATTGTGTACTCAAAGTGTACTTCGTATACTCAGAGGGATTCGTGTCTGTTCAGAAGCCGTAAATCAATGGTGAAGAATGGGAACCACTTCTCTCTCGCTCGCTTGCTCTCCCTCACTTTTGAACTCTGTCTAATTGCATTAGAGAAAGGGCAGAGCACAGACGCACCGACAGAACACATCATACTCCCCCTGGCTCAGCAACATACACTTGGCTCAAAGAAGCAGGCCGGATTTGAGTACACCATCGCTAATGCATTTCAAAACAGAAAGACCCCTAGCCTTGAATAAAAAAACATAACTTATTCTCAAAAAACGGAATGCATGGCATACAAGTTTAAATATAAATGACATGACAGTATATTGTAGTTTAATTAATTTTCTTCAGAAAAAAAAAATTATGATAGTGTACTGTCACTCAAAAGCTATTTAAATCTTGCCGTCTCTGAGAGCAGCAGACCCCACAGGTGTGCCAAAAATTACAAGCTCTTGCAACCATCCCGGAGATCTAAGCTATGGGCACAGACGGGCAGGGCAGCTGTCCAGCTCAGTCATACAGAGGCATGCTGGGTATGTGCAAATGATCCTGGCTGGTCAAGGGGGGCATGAGAGGATAGGGTTCAGCTGCCTGTGCGTCTGTATATGTATTTGCACATTTGTGGACATCTGTATATGTAAACCAAAGCAACATGTGCTCAGTTTTATGTCACTTGAGACGACTCACCTGCAAGCGCTTTAATGCGCGAACGCTCAAAGAGTCTGGCCGAGCTGTTGTCGTTGTCGAGCTCTTCACCAGACAGTTCAAAGCGGGTGTTGATGCGGCTGTACTGCTGAGTGATTTCAGCATTGTCAAAGTCTGTGGTGGAGGTCATAGTTGCCACTGAGATGAAGAGGAATGAGAGAGACCAAACACCTCACCGTGCTACACGAAGACAAGACAGTGGAATGCCAGAGATGGATGATCTGAAAGGTGAAAGAGATGGAGTCACTGAAGTGACCTTTAAACATTTTGAAATTTCAGTTTGCACCTTAATATATTTAGACATTCAATATTCGTGCCTAAGGGACCATTCACATAGAATGCATTTTTGCATGTCTGTTTTAAAACGTCATGTGCAAGAAACTGGAAAAGACGTAACCACAATGGTCCAACGCAATCATCTAGCGCATGTTTACATAGAAAAACAATGAAAAAGTATAATGCAAAAAAGTGTTATGTGTGAACAGCCCCTTAATGTTGGCACATAACATGATTATATGAGCCTGTTTATATACAGTGGGGAACACAGTAACTGTAATTGAAAAAAATGGAAGTAATAAGTTTAAGAATTGTGAAAATGTAAAACAAAGACATAATAAAGATTCTGTATTATTTCCACGGTCCCTTATCAGTTGATCTGTTTTAAAAAATGGTGTTCTTGCTTACATTGAAGAACAAGATGCTGTTTGGAACATTCTTAAATTGTGGTTTTGTTGATTTCAACTCAAGTGCTGCTGCCATTAAAAAAGGTTTTCACACAAAATTTCACTCAAATTGCTATATTGATAATATAACTTGTAATGAAAACAAATTAATTGGGGAAAAAAATACAAAATAGGAATTTAATGTGCTATTTTTTTACAATAGTCTGTTAGAATCATTTAAGTTAGATGATCATTCTTAAGTTAGATGATAATTTAAAGGTGACATTTTATGCCCCTTTTTACAATATGTAATATAAGTCTCTGGTGTCCCCAGAATGTGTCTGTGAAGTTTTAGCTCAAAATACTCCACAGATCATTTATTATATAATTTTGAAAATGCCTATTTTGAGTGGAAGCAGAAACGAGCTGTTTTTCGGGCCTGTGTTTTTAAATGCAAATGAGCTGCTGCTCCCCACCCCCTTTTCCAGAATAGAGCTGTGCCATTACAGCTTGTATCTGCTAAAAAACATCTGGTTTGGTTCTGATGATCATGTTTATCTCGCTGAAATCATGCGTTTTAAACCATATAAGTTTAAACTTCAGATATAAGGTTTTCTGAGAGCACACATCCGAAGCACACGGACAGAAAGTGGCTGTCACAGTATGTGAGTACTAAACTAAGTTCTCATTCACACACAAGTTTATGTTAAAAACACATGAGTTACAAAAACAGTCGGTTATGTCTGTGAAGGTAAACAGCTGGGAAATAAATTGCTCGTTTATTTTAGATCTGTGTGGCAGCAGCAATATACAGTAGCCTAAATAAATCAATAAATCCACTGCTCTGTTGTCTTCTCTGAGGCTGGGACTCTAAATAGTGTTCTGTGCTCGTCTGTGCAGCCAAAGACAGAACAGTTAGCATGTTTTGCTCAAACTTTCGCCATGGCATTAGAGTTGGTACACCGTTGTCGCTTGCTAAATTAAAATGACGGTGCCTTAAGTGGAAGTTTGCAGATTAAGCGGCGGTAATATTATAATTATTACCTTAGAGAGATCCCTTTGCCACATCACCAAGGGAGCGAAATTAGACGCGCTCGTTTTCTCAGATGCTTGCAGAAAAAGGCTTACCTAAACAAAGTGATTGGGTTAATCTTTTTCACATTTCCTTGGTTGGTAGATGCACCAGGGACCTGATTATAGCACTTAAAACCTGGAAAAGTCAGATTTTCATGATATGCCACCTTTAAGACTCTACAGAGGACCAAGAGTCACATGTGCAAATTTGTGGTGGTTCTTATGCCAAAAACTGTCTCATAGTTGCCCATCCTCTTATCATTACCTGCCTCTTTGCTTGTCCCTGTCTATAAGAATGGCACAAAATGGCAATTAATGAATAGTACAATTAATAAATGTATACCTGTTTCCCTTATAGAATATGTTCCTACACCCTCAGGATTCCAAAGGCCGCCATTTTCAGCACATGTCCTCTAACCGTCGCTCTTAACAAGGGTGTGTATTTACGCATGCTACTGTGGAATGGCGAGTGAAGGTTAGCTGCTAAGATAGTTCTATCTTTGTGAGGCATGTTGCTCATGTGTAGTCTTATCGCCCTAAACGGGGGCAACCCCTCTGAGTAAGAGAATGTAAAGAGCACCTTTCACAAATTTTCCTACTTCGTCACACGCTACGTGATCAGATATTTACTTGCGTGTTTCTTCTCACAGTCAGAAAATTAGGGAGGAAAATCCTCACTAATCATTAGCAGTGAACTACTTGAGACGATACAAAGCTTCTGCTCTAGTTGGCTTTAAATATCTAGGCCATTGAAAAGCACTGGACCAAATGAATTTCACATCCTATTTGCAGGGTTAGTGTACTGTAACAATGCAAGGTGTGAATATGTCAGTTGTACAATATACAAAATAAAAATCAACACTGGCTGAAGAACTGAGGGAAGTGGAGAATCTAACAGGTGTCAGAAAGAGGGGTGATGGTGGTTCTCACTCTCTCTCTCTCTCTCTCTCTGTATCAGGCCAGCGCAGGGGGGATGTTATCAAAGAACTATTCTCCACCCATCAGCGGGAAACCCATTATCACAAGAGGCACAACTTTGCTGCTCTCTCTGCGTGTGGTGTCTCTGTCTCTGCAATATGCTCACGTGTACACATACAGTTTATGACAAAGTATCTACTAACTCAAACGAAAGAGATGGACAGTAGGGACAGCTATGAAAAAATTATTCACCTAAAAAAGAAAATCATGTCATAATGTCATTCCAAACCTCTGTGACTTTCTTTCGTCAATAGAACACAAAAGAAGAAATTTTGAAGGACATTGATGCTGCTCTTTCCCATACAATGTAAATATATAGTAACCAAGCTGTCAAACTCCAAAAATTACAAGTAGTCCTTAATAAGTCCTTATTATTTGTTTTCTCAAGCCATATGATAGCTTTTTGTGAGTAACAGACCAAAGTTTAATTTGTTGTTCCCTGAAAAACATTCTCTCTGCAGTAGCTCTTAAATCTCTTTGCATAGGCATAATTTATTTTTTCATTTTTGTGTGAACTATTTAAATGTTTATAAATCTACATATGCTAGATTATTGAATCGGAACCATTTTTAGGTCATTAACATTATTTTTGGCAATAACTGTAAAATAAAAACTGTGATTTAAATACTGCAAGATAAGTATCTCTAGCTAATAATACCTATCACTGCCATGATAATGTCACAGTGTGTTTACTCTCAAATTCTGCAACCGAAGCTGAGAGGGCGGATATCTACTGTCCAGGAAGCCGACACAGCGGGTTATTTCTCACATGTGTGAGGGGAGAGGCCACACTTAGGTGTGGTATGAATCATGATACACTGTATGTGCCATGTTACTGTAGGAACAGCTGGGGAACCAAAGTATTCTGTGTTTAAATGAGCTTAAGGAAAGTAAATTGTGGGTATAATCACTGCCTTGAAGAAATAAGTTTACCCTGAAACTTAAATTCTGTCATTATTTATTCACACCCGTGTCATTCCAAACCATGACTTTCTTTCTTCTGTAAAAGAGACGTTTCAAAGAATGTTCACGGTGCTCCTTTCCATACAGTGCAAACAAAAAAGGCTGACATGATTTTAATTTCTGAATAAACTGTTCCATTAAAGATGCAGTAAGTTTTAAACACAGCAGTGGTCTTGAGGAAAGCAGAGCATAGAATTAACAGTCAGACAGTATAATACAAAACTATTCCTGGAAT